TCATATCTTAGGGAGGTCTTGGCTGAATTTGTGAGCTCCATAAAAAGTCTCCTGTATTCTCAGTGCACATGTGAGCTACAGCGGCAAATTTGGCATGCCTAGCAAAGGAAGAATCATACCTGAAAACTTGTAACACTGGATGTATCCTGTACCATATTCGCAAGGGAAGGTTAAGTCAAGAAGTTGCATGGCATCTCTAAAATCTATTGAAGCTTACCCATGCAGATATATCCTCATTGAAGTTACCAGCATCAAATTCATTAGTCACCCCGTTTTCTCCTGCAAATACACGATAAAAGTCAACCACACGGGTGACATCCCTGTTACCAGACAACAGTATGAGATGGACCACAACAGGAGGAGGCTGGCTGGATCTCTGCTGGGCCAAATGATTCAGTAACTCACCAGGTCTCAATGGGGCCATAGACACAAGTTGGGCCATAGTTTGCTTCAGCCAAAGCAAGAATCAGCTCAATCCTATCAGCAATGACTGCAAAAAGAGGAGGCATTACAAAAATGAGGTGAAGGAAATGTGCACACCATATGGCCAGACAAATATGTCTACGTACTGCCATCATTTGTAGGAGTTGCAGAAGGAACTGGTGATGGCATCTGTGTATTTGTAGGAACTGCAGAAGGAACTGGTGTTGGCATCTGTGTAGGTGCTTTAGTGGGAGCCTCAGTGGGATGCTGGGTTGGTGCTTTAGTGGGAGCTTTGGTTGGTGCCTGTGTAGGACCTTTGGTGGGAGCTTTGGTGGGTGCCCGGGTAGGCACTTTGGTTGGAGTTTTAGTTGGTGCCTGTGTAGGCACCTTAGTGGGAGTTTTAGTTGGTGCCTGTGTTGGTGCGTTAGTGGGAGCTTTGGTTGGTGCCCGGGTAGGAAATTTAGTGGGAGCTTTGGTTGGTGCTTGTGTAGCTCTTTGTGGAACTCTAGTGTGAGCTCTGATCGTTGGTAGCTTGTGCTCAGGTACTTTGGTGGGAACTCTAGTGGAGCTCTGTTGGTGCTTTGTAGGCACTTTGGTTGGAGTGTGGGATCGTTGGCATTTGTAGGCACATTGGTTGGAGCTGAAGTAGTTTTGGTTGGCACCCTTGTGTGACTTGTGATGCATGTTGTTGCAATTTTGTAGGCTGGGTTGTGGGGGCAGCGGTCGGTTCCTGGGTTGGTCCTCTTGTTGGTCTTGTGGGAGACCTTTGTTGGAATTACCAGGAGAAACAGTTGGTGTGAGGTGGGGCACTGGTAGGAATCTTTGTTGCCTGGATTGCGGTGTTCTGCTAGGATGTTGTTGGAATTTGGTCACTGTCTGGTAGCTCTCGTTGGAATTCTAGTTGGAACTTGCTGTTGTTTTACTTTGTGGGAGCCTTTGTTGGACTCCAGGAGGAACGGTTGGTGGTGACGTCGGGGCACTGTATAGAAACCTTGTGTTGATTGTTGTGTCCTTGTTAGGGTTGCTCTGTTGGATTATCGTTGGAACTGCTGTTGGTGACTTTGTGGGAGCCTTTGTTGGACTCCCAGGAGGAACGGTTGGTGGTGAGGTGGGGGCACTTGTAGGAAACCTTGTTGGTTGGATTGTTGGTGTCCTGGTAGGGGTGCTCGTTGGACTTCTAGTTGGAACTGCTGTTGGTGACTTTGTGGGAGCCTTTGTTGGATTTCCAGGAGAAACAGTTGGTGGAAAAGTTGGTGGTTTAGTAGGAAACCTAGTAGGCTGGCTTGTTGGGTTTCCACTTGGAGCACCAGGGGAGACAGTTGGCTCTGGTGTAGGTGAATTGGCGGGCTGTATCGTTGGCATTTTTGTAGGTGGAGTTGTAGCACCATTGGTGGGGTTTCCAGTTGGCTGATCAGTTGGCAACTGAGTTGGTGCAGTTGTTGGGGTTGCTGTTGTTGGACTAGCACTTGGAGCCCCCAGTGAGACAGTTGGCAGTGGAGTTGGTGCATTGCTTGGTTGTTCAGTTGGCAGTTCTGCGGGTGCCCTGCTGGGTGGTATTGTTGGACTGCCAGTAGGAGTTTGGGTTGGCTCATTTGTAGGGGGCGGAGTGGGTGCCTTGGTTGGACCAAAGGTAGGTGATGGCGTTGGCAATGATGTCACAATATCAACAGCCTCCAGTGAGTTCCTTTGCATTGTTGGAATAGCATTGAATGCAGCTAGAAAAGTGGCCTTATCAGCATTTGTCTGGTACATGAAGGCATTGTTGACTTGAAGGGATTCCACTATAAGAGCTGCTATGTTGC